TTAATATTCAGTCTATGACTTTTGTATTCTTGGCTCTGGACAGTTCCTTTCAGGCTGCCTGAAGACAATGCCAATCTGGGCTGCCAAGCAAGTGCCCCTGCCTCATCTCTTGCCTAACACACCCCAAGGCTTTAGATTTGATCCCAAGAATTGAAAGGAAAAGGAAAAAAAAAAAATCACACTACAATTCCTCTAAACTTCATAAATAATATGCTTCTAAATTAGCACACAGATTAAAAACCATAATGAAATTCTGAGAATGTGGGTAGTGAGAGTTGTGACTATTATATTAAGGCTGTCAGATTTCTTGACCAGCACAGTGGTATACAGATGTGCAAGCTTGCACCCATACCCATAAAATAATAAAGTAAAAGATATGTGTTTAAAAATGAGTGCACACACAGACACACACGTAAACACCAGCATCTGGGTATATTACTTTGATAATTTTTAAATGTTTAAGATTTATTTATTTTGTGTGCCTCATGTACATGTATGTTCTGTGTACCTGATGTATATGGAGGTCACAGGAGGGATCACTGGAACTAGAGTTATGGATAGTTATAAGACACTATGTGGGTGCTAGGAATTGAATCCAGGTCCTCTGCAAGAGCAACCAGTGCTCTTAACCATGGAGCCACCTTTCAGGCTCTATACTTTCACATTTTTTTTAAAAGAAAATTCTCCCTGAGTGTTTTGCAAATCATTTCTTCCACATTTATTTTCCTAAGAGTTTAACTGCTCAATCCATTAAAAGGACATTTTTCTTTCATACCCTCTTAAAAGAATCATCACCAGGAAAACATTCACAACCTAAGAAGTCACATGCAGTATGGACATAAATATGTACTGTGAAAGGCTGCACAAGTCAGTGAGGCCATCCAGTAACATACTCATAAATCCTAATGCTGCTTACAATTCTCAAACAGCAGAAAAACAGTAGGCTGAATGACACCTATCCAATAGCACAGCAACCTGCAAAGGTTCTCAACAACTCAGACCCAATTACATCATTTACAACATCCCTTTCTCGAAACTAACCAACAAATTTTATTTCAAACAATAGAAAACATTCTTGAAACCAGATGGGAGAGCTAGCATAAGAGCATCCTTGGGCCCCCAGAAGGAAAATTCGAAGTGCTATTTGCTCAGGAAAGTGATAGAAGCACACTTCCCTCTAGGGGCCACTTAGGTCAGCAGTACTGAGGTTAGTTAAGCATGGCCTTATAGGTCTGACTGTCTGGATGAGGTCCTGGTTCTGCATGTCTATACATATCAAAAACAGAATACACATATCTATTTATGTACATAAATATATATAAACAGTCTATAGATATCAAAAACAGAATAATATCTGGCACATACTAAGTATTAATGTTTGATGATATCACACAAGTCAAGAGAAGGTAAGCAGACTTCATTATCTCTGCTTGTCTGGAAAAACAGTACTGACAAACAAGAAAGGCTTTGTTAAGTTACCCAATGCCTAAACCAAACAGAAACCTACTACCCTAGGATGGAAGGTATCACATGCTTCATGAACACTAATCTCTACTTAAATACAGTAAACAAAGAGAAATGAATCCCTGAATGAATTCATTAAAAGCTCCTGTTTGACTAAAATTTGCTCTGATTTGTGAATACAGTGTGTGTTTGTGTGTGTGTGTGTGTGTGTGTGTGTGTGTGTAGGGGGTTAGGGATCAAATCCAGATCTCACCATGGTGAGCAAGCGCTCTAAAAATCACCGATCTACACACTACATCCTTAGTCTCAGCCAGAGAATAATTTTCAGCCCATTTCAGTCATTCTGGCAACAGAGAAAGCAGAGTTGTAGGCGGCTCTGTTGTAGGCAATAGAAGAACACAGAGGAGACTCACGGAGGACCGCAGGTTAAGAAGCACATCAACTCCCTTCAGCATTCTCCCCAATCTCTGGAGCACAGTAGTAAATAAAGCTCTTCACAAGAGAATCAGCCTAACAGGAAGGTCTGTTTAAATGTAAGCCACTGCTGAGAGGAAAGAGAGCTCAGGAAATGCGTCGTATTCTAAGATACAGCACAGCAGAGCTGGCCACTTCCTAGATTCCACAGAGCCAAGGAGGTACAATGAGGTGAGCAATGCTTCCTGGAGGAGCTGGGTAAGTGCCCAGCTCAGAGTGGGCAGCTACAGAGATTAGGGGTGGGAAACAATGTAATCAGCTTCATTGCCTCTATACTTCCCACTTGACCACCGAGTCAGCCAGTTCCCACAAAGGACAGGACTGCCAAAAAGAGGAACCTTCTGCTAATTACCTTCATATACGCAGGTTTGTTTGGTTGTTTGGTTGGTTGGTTTAGGGATGGCACCAAGGGCTAACTAAGCTTATGCTAGGGCTAGACAAATGCTCTATCACCAAGCTACACCTCAGATGAACAAATCAGTTCATTTTTTAAAAATCATATTACATTTCGTGTGTGTGTGTGTGTGTAAGAGAGAGAAAGAGACATGCCACAGTGAGTGTATGGAGGTCAAAGGGCAACTTGGAGGAGTTGTTTCTCTTCTTCTACTACATGGTTGCTTGCTAAGTAATCTTGCCTGCCCAGAGTTCTTTATTAATAACCACCCGATAATGAAGACAAACCAAAATGACATCAAAGGACACTAAACCAGGTGTGGTAGCACATGCTACTAATCCCAGAACTCAGGAGGGCAGAAGTAAGATGATCTCGGTGAATTTGAAACCAGACTGGCCTTCATAGTAAGAGCTTTAAAAAAAACAAAAAACAAACTAAGATGAAAAGATCAGTTCTTTAAAAATAAACCTTATTTTAGCCGGGCGGTGGTGGCGCACGCCTTTAATCCCAGCACCCAGGAGGCAGAGGCAGGCGGATCTCTGTGAGTTCGAGGCCAGCCTGGTCTACAAGAGCTAGTTCCAGGACAGGAACCAAAAGCTATGGAGAAATCCTGTCTCGAAAAATAAATAAATAAATAAATAAATAAATAAATAAATAGGAAAAAAAAACCGGGGGCTGGAGAGATGGCTCAGAGGTTAAGAACATTGCCTGCTCTTCCAAAGGTCCTGAGTTCAATTCCCAGCAACCACATGGTGGCTCACAACCATCTGTAATGAGGTCTGGTGCCCTCTTCTGGGCTGTAGGCATACACACAGACAGAATATTGTATACATAATAAATAAAATATTAAAAAAATAAAAATAAAAAAATAAACCTTATTTTATTCTGTGCACGGGTCTTATGCAGCCCAGGGCTGGCTTCCAACTCAGTATATAATGCCAGCAATGTTGGCAAGCGCCTTTAGTCCCAGCACTCAGAGGCAGGTGGATATCTGTGAGTTCAAGGCCAGCCTAGTCTACAGATCAAGTTCCAGGACAGCTAGGGCTACACAGAGAAACCCTGTCTTGAAAAAAACAAAAACACATAATCCCCAAAACACCTCACTCTATAGCTGAGGGTATTTTTCCTTTTGATTCTCCTATAGCCACCTCTTAAGTGCTGGGATCAGAGGCTGCATTGTAACCATGTGACACTCACCATGCCTAGATTTATATGGTCTTGAGACTTGAACCCAGAGCTTCGAGCATGCTAGGCAAGCATTCCTCCAACAAAACTATACTCTCCTGCCAAGAAATATGTTTTTTAGACCCTACAAAAATACCTGTGCTTAGTGAAGCATACCTGAAGCCTAGAACTTATGTGGCTGAGGTAGGAGGATCCTGAGTACAAAGCAAGGCCTGTGCTATAAATGAGTTTGAGGCTAATGTGAGCTACACAGCAAGACACTGATTCAAATAATATAGTAATAAATAAATAAATAAATAAATAAATGAAAAAAGAGAAGAGGAAAACACCTGAAAAGTTTCTGAAAGGTATGCTCTGAAAAAGTTGAGAACTAGGAAGTAAGAACTAATGGCTGCCGTGAAGACAGGAAGAAGTGATAGAGGAGTAAGGTATAGAAAGAAACATATATACATGCGTGTGAGTGTGGTGTGTCTGTGTTGTATACATTCCTTTGAAACATGGTCTCACTGAACCTGGAGCTAGGCTGGCAGCCAACAAGCCTTGAAATTTTCCTATCTCTGCCCTTACAGACACAACACACATGCACCCACACCCAGCCTTTTACATATATTCTGGGATCTGAACTCATGTCTCTATGCTTACACAGGATTTGATCTTATTGGTACACTGAGCCATCTCCCTATTAAATATAAATACACACATTTTTGAAAAGTGTTAAGGCTGAGCATGTAGTCAAATGAAAACAAAACAAAGCAAAAAACGCAAAACCAATGAAAATGCTATGTATAAGGTACACAGAGAAACAAAAGCAAGAACGCAAGCCACGTTTCTTTCCATCTAAAATGTGTTCTTTTTATAAAAAGATGTTACCCTTCTCTGAGTCTGGAGCATACAGAGTCAGTCAGACTCTCCAGTAAGCCACAGAGATCTCCTGTCTCTGCCCCCAGCAATTAGACTGCAGGTACATACCATCTTACCTGTCTTCTGTGTGGGTGCTGGAAATCCAAACCCAAGTTCTCACACTTACACAGCAAGTACTTTATCACTAAGCCATCTCCCCAGCTCCATAATTCAAAAATATTTAATGGTATAGAATTAATTACACCATGTTTTGTTTTATGTTTTCCTTTTCCCCCTTGAGATAGGGTCTTACTATGTAGCCCTGGCTGACTTCAAATTTACAGTGATCCTCCTGCCTTGTCCTCCTAAATGCTGGTATTATAAGTTAGAAGCACCATGTTCAGCTGTTTTTTGTCGTTGCTGTTGGTGGTGGTGGTGGTGGTGGTGGTAGTGGTGGTTTGAGACAGGTTCTTACTCTATAAGACTGGCCTAGAACTCACTATGTAGCCCAGGCTGGTCTCAAACTCATGGTCCTCATCCTCCCAAGTGCTAGAATTAGATATGTAAACTATCACAGCCAGCTTTTGTTATCTCATGTTTGACTGTACCTCTTTCTTTTTCTTCTTCTTTTTTCTTTCAGAGAATCAGACAGGAGCAACCAGATGTCAGGTCCTGGTTACACGGAAATGCTAATCAGCAAATGATGCAAGTTCCAATCATCATTTTCTATCTGCCCTCAGGAGGAAGAACAGGGGAGGATTATGCTCCTGACAATTTGACTGTACCTTTCTAGTTTTACTGTTGGCAAATATAAAATTAAATAAAAATCCTTTCATTCATTTGAATTGAAAATATCAGTCTTGCCTGGCGGTCGTAGGCAAACCTTTAATCCCAGCACTCAGGAGGCAGAAGCAAGTGGTTCTCTGTGAGTTCAAGGCCAGCCTGGTCTACAGTGTGAGTTCCAGGACAGCCGAGACTACACAAAGAAACTCTGTGCAAAAAAACAAAACAAAACAAAAAGAATGGCTAATTCTAGGGCGAGGGTGGCTCAGTGTTACAGTGTTTGTCTTGCAAGTATGAGGACCTGAGTTCATTCCTCAGAGCCTGTGTCAAAGTCCCATGCACAGCAATTCAAGCTTATAACAGAAGGCTCCTCAGAGGATCCCAGCTATTCTAGATTAACTGGTGTGCTCCACTCCATAGGCATGCACAGCCACATAGTCACACATATATACATTTGAGGAAGAAGAAGAAGGAAAAGGAGGAGGAGGAAGAAAAAGGAAGAAGAAGAAGGAAGAATAAAGAGGAGGAGGAAAAAAGAGGAGGAGGGGGCTGGAGAGATGGCTCAGCGGTTAAGAGCACTGGCTGCTCTTCCAGAGGTCCTGAGTTCAATTCCCAGCAACCACATGGTGGCTCACAGCCATCTGTAATGGGGTCTGGTGCCCTTTTCTGGCCTGCAGGCATACACACAGACAGAATATTGTATACATAATAAATAAATATTTTATTTTATTTTATTTTTTTTGGTTTTTCGAGACAGGGTTTCTCTGTGGCTTTGGAGCCTGTCCAGGAACTAGCTCTTGTAGACCAGGCTGGTCTCGAACTCACAGAGATCCGCCTGCCTCTGCCTCCCGAGTGCTGGGATTAAAGGCGGGTTTTAAAAATAAAAAAATTTAAAAAAGAAGGAAGAAGAAGAACAAGGAGGAAGAAGGGAAAAGAAGAAGGAGGAGGAGGAAGAAAAAGAAGGAGGAGAAGAAGTGATCACTTTGAGTTCAAGACCAGCCTGGTCTACTCAGTGAGCTACAGAACAGCCAGGGCTATACAGCGAGACCCTGTCTCAAACAAACAGAAAAGATACAAGGAGAAAACCTACTCCCAAAAGTTGTTCTCTGACCTATCCATACATATATCTCTGACCTCTCCATACATATATCTACCTACATGCGTGCACACACACACTTTAAATTTTATATTTAAATAAAAAGATTCCTATAACAACAACAAAAATGTAGTATTTCAATGAAAAAAGCATTCACATATTCTTATTGTCATACAGCAATTATATATATATTAATCCCACTCAGTATGACATTTCAATGCATGTATACAATATGTATTAATTAAATCCAAACCTTTCTCCAATTCTCCAAACATTTTTGCCTTGAGACATACATAAACAAGAAAAATGAGATGACTCGGTGAGCAAAGGCATTGCTGTGCAGGTCTGATAACCTGAGTTTGACCCCTGGGTCCTACAGTAGAAAAAGAGAACTAACTCCCACATATGCTGTGGCATTTGTATGTACACATTCACCACATAAACACATGTTCAAAGTTTAAAAATAACAAGCCAGGCGGTGGTGATGCACGCCTTTAATCCCAGTACTTGGGAGGCAGAGGCAGGCAGATCTCTGTGCATTTGAGGGCAGCCTGGTCCACAAGGGCTAGTTCCAGGACAGGCACCATAGCTACAGAGAAACCCTGCTCAAAAAACCAAATAAATAAAAAAATAACAAATCTAGGGATTAGAGAGATGGCTCAGAGGTTAAAAGCACTGATTACTCTTCCAGGAACCACATGGTGGCTCACAACCATCCATAATGAGATCTGGTACCCTCTTCTGTTGTGCAGGCAAACATGTAGACAGAACACTGTTTACATAATAAATAAAATAAATCTCTTAAGAAAATAACAAATCTAGCCAGTATATATAAAATACTAAGAAAACCAACCTTTTGCAACTGTGATGAAGCAGTGGATCTAGCCAATGCTCATCAGTCACTGTCTAAATGACAAGATGATAATTTGAGGAGGAAATTTATGATGAAGGACTCAAACCTGAATATACCCAAATCCACTGATTAATTCTAGCCTCATAAAAAGCAGAAGGAATTGGAGAGATAGCTCAGCTATTAAGAGCACTGGCTGTTCTTACAGAGGACCTGGGTATGGTTCCCAGCTCACAACCATCTGTAACTCCAGTTTTAGGGGATTGAAGACCCTCTTCTAGCCTCAGCAGGTACCAGGCATGCTTGTGGTACTAAGACATATACATGCAGGCAAAACCTTCATATACATAAAATGAGACAAATCTAAAAAAATTTTAAGTGGGAAATGCTCGTCATTAAACAAAATACATAGTATCTCCCATGAAGTGTTTCTGTCTGAAATAGTCAATCAAAATCTAAGGAAGCCTATCTGTCTAGTGAGAGAGCATGAGATAAACTGTGAAGTAGCCTTTCCTGTGGTCTTTTCAGTCTTACTGCTCACTAGCAACCACTGACTGACCTTACAGCCTGTGGGAGCTATTCTAACAGCTGTCTCCCAACAATTTTCACCAGCTTGGTCCTCAGTTTCATCTTTATTCTTTTCTACCAACTTTTGTTTGTGTTTCGAGGCAAGGTTTCTCTGTGTAGCCCTAGCTGTTCTAGAACTCACTCTGTAGACCAGCCTGGCCTTGAACTCACAAAGATCTACCTGCTTCTGCCAACCAAATACTCTCTAGCCATGTGCCCAGTTCTTTCAGAGCACCAAGTGCTTTGCACAGTTAGTGACTCCTCGGGGACATTGCTACTCCTTCACTGGTCACCTGTAGAAACAGGGTCACCTCACCCACAATGAGGGTTTTTCTGACTTACACCTTGCAATTATCATGCCATTTCATTTGCTTTCACACACCTCAGAAGCTGGCACCGAAGGACAGCACTGCTTTGTGCCTGCCAGGTCCCCACAGTCAACAAGTTAGCTGGCAGACTATCTGGAAACCTGACATCCGTGAGTCACTGATTGTTTCCCAGTGTTACAGTTTTGTAAATCCAAGAAACTAGCTCCTATGTCAAGTTACCTCTCTCTACCTGAAGAAAATCTGGCACCAGATGCATATCTGTAACTTTAAGATGGGGGCACAGCCAGGTGGGCAATGGTGGCACATGCCTTTAATCCTAGCACTTGGGAGGCAGAGAAGCCCTGCCTCAAAAATCCAAAAATAAACAAACAGAAAAATAAATAAATGCATTAAGGAAAAAAATGCGTGATGCAGTCTGGAAATGCAACTCAGTGGGAACACTGGCCTGGTTTATGCGAGGCCCTGAGGTCTATCATCACCATCACTCCAGTACTGTGGAGAAGGCAGGCAGATACAAAGGTTTCCATTTCCAAAGGCATAGCCAGACTTCAGGACCATTAGAGAAGCCCCACACCCAAGCCCAGGTTTAATATGGCTAGAGAATGCCAGCTGTTTCTCTGGAAGGCCCGTGATCTACCGTTCACAAATCTGCTTATGGTCTCTTTCTGTTTACACACACATGTATGTACACTTAAACTATGCCCATTGTTTCTGAAGTCAAATACACACTCGTTTCTTTACAGTTCCCAAACTGACGCTCACATATAGATGAACTCTCCAGTGTCGTGCATAGAGCATATGAAAGGATGCTTAGAATCACTCACTGTGAGGAAAACACAAATCAAACCCACAAAATACCACTTCATAACCAGTAGCCCGGCAATAAGGAAAATGACAGAGAGTAGCAAATGCTGGAAAGGACGTAGAGAGACCATAATCTTCATACACTGCTTGCAGGAAAGGAAAATAGTGCAGACTCTGGAAAACCATCGACACTTCCTTAGTTCAACATGGAGCTGTCACATGGCACTCTACTCTGTGTACATACCAAGAGAAATGAAAAGCACATTTACAGCAAAAACAGCACATAAATATTCAAAGTATTTCTAACAACCAAAAATTGCAGTCAACCTTCTTATCAACTGACAAACACATAAGCAAATGTGGCACAACCAAACAGTAGAAAGTTACCCAGCCTTAAAAAAAAATAAATATTGAAAGGGAGCTGAAAAGAGGCTCACTAATTATAATTAAGAGCACTCACTCCACTTGCAAGGGACCCAGTCTTGATTCCCAGCACCTCACAACCATCCACAACTCCAGACCAGGGATGCATGTGCTGTACATACAATACATGCAGGCAAAATACTCATACACATAAAATATTATTTTAATCTTTTAAAAGAGATAAATAGATATCCAGGCAATGGTTGCACACAACTTTAACCCCAGCACTCACTTGGGAGGCAGAGGCAGGTGGATCTAAATTCAAGGTCAGCCTGATCTACAGAGTTGAGTTCTAGGACAGACAGGGTTACACAGAAAAACCCTCTCCAGAAAAAAAAAAAAAAATACAATTGAGTAGTTGAGAAAGATGCACCCAACATTGAGTTCTGGATGCCATTTCGTACACCTGAATGCACGTACACATAGTATGCAATCACAAAATATCCATCTTAGGTAATTCACTGAAACAATAGATGTAACGATGGGGGAAAGGGAGAGGATCAGATCAGGTAGAAGAGAAGTGACTTTCTGTGGAATGATGAAAAACTGATCCTCCTCTCTCAGCCTCCCTGGTGCTAGAAATACAGGTTTGTTCTACCATGCCTGGCTTCAAAAATATTCTAAAATTTAATTATAAATGATGAATGAATTATATGGTATAAAAATTGAACTTCAAACGAGATCAGGTGTGTTCAGAGTGGTATGGCCGTAGATGCAAATTGAACTTCAATAAACTTGTTGTAACTACTAAGATAATGAGGTCACAGACCAGTGGTCTCAACCTTCCTAATGCTGTGACTCTCATGTTGTGGTGACCCCAACCATAAAATTATTTTGCTGCTACTTCATAACTGTAACTTTGCTATTGTAATGAATAGTAATATAAGTATTTGGTATGCAGGATATCTGATAAGACCCCCAA